TAATATGTTTTAAAATACTACTGAAAATATATATATGATGTACACTTAGGTGTCTGTGAAATGCCTTCCCATATAAAGTTAAGCATTTGGAGTGTATTTGAACCATCCACATATTTTGTTCTCAAATATATCTAACTTTTATTAAATGTGGAAATCTAATTTGAAATATAGACAACTTATATCTACTGTACAATAAAGTTTTTTTATTTATAGGAACTAAATTTCCAACAACTCCTCCTCCATGCAAGAAACATCAGATTGGTGTGCAAAGCAGCACATCACAACCTGAAGTGTTTCCATTAACTAAGTCAAAATCTCATGAATCACAATTAGCAAATCGTCTTGAGAATATACAGCTTGATAATGATGATACATCATCTAGGTAATACTTTCCTATATAATCTATTTTCTATTAATTTAATATTATATATTCTTCTCATTTTATGATAAAATACACATTTTATAGATCTAATTTAATTAAAAATATCTATCAACTAAATATTTTAATATATTATTTTATACTTTTAGTTCTGGAAACGACTCTTCTGTAGGAAAAAAAAGTGATTCCACTATAAAAAGAAGAAATCGTCTACCAACAGAACCAAGTTCATACTGTAGTACGACAGACTTTATGAAATCAGAGAGTCTCTTGCCAAACAGTAATAGTCCTATTAAATCCCCACCTTACACTAATCCAGAAAGTGATGATAACAATTTTAAGGGAACAGGTACATGAAAGAAAAACTCTATTTTTTAAATATTATATCATATACAATAAATTAATGTAATATTTTCTTTTGTTTTATTTTTAGTAACAAGTCTCCAAGTGCCAAAATCTCCACGTACTCCGACAGTGACTCGTACCATGGGTCATATAATTGCTCATCGCTTTAACAAAACTTTTAACATGATGGCAACATGTGATTACTGTGAAAAGCAGATGGGATGGGGCACTATTTTAAAATGCAAGGAATGTAAATATAAGTGCCACCGAGAATGTGAATCCAAAGTACCCCCCTCGTGTGGCCTACCTCAGGAACTCTTTAACGAGTTTAAACGAACTGTACAAGGTGATGGTATGTACAAACTTTGCAACTTTAATAATGCTAATCGTAAAAGCATCTCTTTTCCTCTTTCACGTTTTTTTTTTGTTTTTTTTAA